CGATCCCGGGACTCCAGGATCATGACCTGAGCCGAAGGCAGTCGCTTAACCAACTGAGCCACCCAGGCGCCCCAAAACAGACACGTTTCTAAAAAAAAATTTAACCTAAATGAAGTAGAGATGTTATTTTAGCCTACTGTGAATCCTGTACTAAAACGAATTCTTCTTTAAAGGCAGGAATTTATCTTTTGTTGTTGTTGTTATTTATTTTAGAGAGAGAGAGAGAGCACAAGTGGGAGGGGAAGGGAGAGGGAGAGAGAATCCCAAGCAGACTCCCCGCTGAGTGGGGGCTTGATCCCAGGGCTGTGAGATCATGAACTGAGTTGAAACCAAGAGCTGACCACCTAACCGACTGTGCCACCCAGGCGGTCATAAATTCCCTAGGCAGGAATTTATCTCTAATGTAAATCCAAATTTTCCTTGACTAAGCTTGCTTATAATAGACCATATTTATTGCACACCTATAAAGTACTAAATACTATGTATAGAGTATCAGTTTAATGCTTTGCATGTAGAGTATCATTTAATGCACACAACCCTGAGAAGTAGGTGGGGTCAGGCTCCTTATTAAACAAGTAAGGAAAGAGGCAAAGAGAATTCAGTAACTTCCCCTAAGGCAAACAGCTAGATTTAATTCCTGGCAATTTAACTCCATTCTTCATCACTGTTCTATTAGCACCACAGCTCCATGTAGCTCATCTGAGACTAAATTCTGATCTTTTATTTGTAACACCAGTTCAGGACGGGGAATTAGTGATAAGCAGATCACTGGAAATGCTGGTTAGCACGTTAATTTTTTTAAACTCATGGCCCAGGAACATTTTTTTCTCAGACACACAGAACTATACAATGAAAGTTGTACCTATTGCTGGAACTAACTCTAAATGAGTCTGAATTTGGAGAATAATTTAAATGCTTATGTAAAATTGGCACTGATATCCCACTTCACCCCCTTTTTCACAGAAAAATATTAATAGTAGGTACTTTTAGCAACAGGAATGAGGCAAATGTAGTAACCAGACATATCGGACATTGATTCCAAAACCTGCATGATACCAGTAACAAGCTATTTAAATCCCTGTGCCTCAGTTTCCTAATAAAAACAAACTGATACCAAAAAGTCTTCAGATAGTCTATTTCATCCATTTCAAAATGTCTTCTGGAACGATTAAAAGCTGTAGAAGAGCAAAATCACATTTAACCGAAATGCCTCATTTACCTGACATCATCAGAAAACAAGGTTGATGCACAAAAGGAAAATCATAAAATAACTAAAACAAACCATTAAGTGCCAAATATCACTGCCTAATTTTTGGCAGAAAATCAAAATAAACCTTTGAGAAATGGATTACATGAAACATAATTTAACTTGTTCTTGACTGACAAAGTCTTCATGAAAAATATCTGAAATCTATCCCTTTCTCATCATTAATTCTACCCACTGCTTCAATTCGGACTCCACTGGACCATGACAGGGATGTCCTAATGGTGAGCACTGAGAAATATGTGGAAGTGCTGAGTCACTATATGGTACACCTGAAACTAATACAACACTGTAGGTTAAGTACACTGGAATTAAAATATAATAATAAAAAAAGACAGTTGGGAAATTCTGAACACTAAATATTGGAAAGAATCATTAATTTTTCTAACTGTGATGACAGTTTTGTGGTTATGGTTTTTTAAAGTCTATCTCTAGAGATAATATACTAAGACATTTATGGAAATAATAACTTATCTGTGATTTACTTCCAAATCATCCAGTGGGAAGAAGTGGGTAGGAGTGTTTACGAAAAACGGGAGTTGAAGGTGTATGGTAAGTACGTAATATTTGTTTATAATCTTATACTTTTGGTATGTTTAAAGATTTTCATAATAAAAACTTAAAATATGAGAAAAAAAATCCCAAGCCTATTCCAATGGTTTATCCCTGGTTTCTTCATCTCACTGCCAAACAAGATTTTTCTAAAACTTAATAAATAAATAATAAAGATAAAGATGACCATGTGGCATGTGAAAATCCCACGGCTTATGGTTGCAAACTACTTTTTGATCTCATTCCACTGCCAATCCTCTCTCTGCTTCTAATCCATGTCTAAGCAGCTTCTGAGGAACTGCTTTAGTTTACACGCATTTCTCCTTTTCTTGCAGAAGAGAAGTGCGTGGCAGATTTTGGCCTTTGAAAAAAATTTTCTTTCCAGATATACTGAAAAATAGATTTCTAAAGACTCAACCAAAGAACTATTAGAAATAACAAACAAATTCAGTAAGGTTGCAGGATACAAAATCAATCTACAAAAATCAGTGGCACTTTAGACACTAATAATGAACTAGCAAAAAAAAAAAATTCAGAAACCAATCCTATTAACAACTGAATCAAAAAGAATAAATTACCTAGGAATAAATTTAACCAAGGAGGTGAAAGAGCTGTACACTGGAAGCTGTAAGACACTGATGAAAGAAACTGAAGAAGACACAAATAAATGGAATGATATTCTGTGCTCACGGGTTGGAAGAATATTTTTTAAACGTCCATACTACCCAAAGCAATGTACAGATTCAATGCAATGCCTATCAAAATTCTAGTGGCATTTTTCACAGAAATACAGCAAACAACTCTAACATTTGTATGAAACCACAAAAGACCTTAAATAGCCACAGCAATCTCAGGAAAGAACAAAACAGGAGGGCATCGTGAAGCATAAGCTGTTCTATCATCATCTAAGAGGGATGATTACAGCAATACAGGCCTACCTCAAGAAACAAGAAAAATCTCAAATAATCTAACCTTATGCCTAAAGAAGCTAGAGGAAGAACAAAACCCAAAGCCAACAGAAGGAAGGAAATAATAAAGATGAGAGCAGAAACAAATGATATAGAGACCAAGAGAACAACAGAACGGATCAATGAAACCAGGAGCTGGTTCTTTGAAAACATCAACAAAATTGATATATCTTACCCAGACTCATCAAAAAAAAAAAAAAAAAGAAAGAGAGGACTCAAATAAATACTATCAGAAATTAAGGAAGAGAAATAACAACCAACACCACAGAAATACAAAGGATTATAAGAAAATATTATAAGAAATTATTTGCCAACAAATTGAACAACCTAGAAGAAATGGGTAATTTCCTAGAAACATAACCTTCCAAAACTGAATTAGGAGGAAAAAGAAAATTTGGAGACAGATTACCAGCAATGAAATTGAATCT